CTCCCTGCAGCAGGAGGGAGGGAGGGGTGGCACGGGCACCTGCCCTGCTGCCCCCTGCCCGCAGTCCCCAGAGGCAGGAGCTCAGCAGGTGCAAACTCCTTTTCAAGGTGTATTCTTTCCACAAGAGAAATCCAACAGCCTGGGCCTTTATAAACTTCCCAGCTTCACGTTTTCCAGACAATCCGATGGTTGGTTTTAACATTTCACTGTGATCCATACACAATATATCAAACTGTTCATACACATGGCAGCAAACCCTTCTGCATTACCACAGCAAATCAGAAACAGAGAGCAAGGGATCTCCTGTTAAAGCCTTACTTTGAAAATTCTTCACTCTACACTCAGGTGAGTGACCAAGGTGTCCAAACACACCAAAAGCAGTGACCAGCTGTGCTGGCACAGCCCCTCTGCACACAGCAATTAACAGGACAGTACAGCTTCACACTTCAGCACAGCAAGTACAGCAGCAGTGGTAAAATGAAACTATGCCACACCTATTAGGATGCATATTTTTAAATAATTTTAAAATTAATTATCAGAGGGGAAGATTTCAGAATTTCACAGAAAAAAAACTCCAAATCAATTAAAAAAATAAATTTGTATTGCTGCAGACATCTGTAATGGTGTCTGAACATGATACCTACAACCCCCTGCCTCTTCTATTGATCCATTGCTCTCAAACTTAATATAAATATATATACACATACTGCCACACACATTTTACCATTTACCATCTTTTAGGGAAATGAGGAACTCAATCTGACATTAATCCAAAGTGTGTTTGCTCTAAACACATTTGTCCATAGATGACAAACCCCATTCTTACGTTCTTGAAAAATCCAACAAAACAGATTAGCCATACAAAGTAATTGTGTGTGGGTGCAAACATGTATTTTTCCTGTTTTCTTAGCATCTTGAAAACCCTTCTGTGTTCCTGGAGCTCCCTGCCATGAAGGACAGTCCAGACAAGGCTCTGGAGTGTATTTCAGTTCCTGGTCCAGAGGCAGAGGTCTGTGAGACTCCAGCACTCACAGGTCCCTGTTAGTGGTCCCACCCGAGGGAACTGCCCTGTGCATCACACGGCTGTGTGACACAGGACACAGCTTGTCCCCATGCCACGTGGGATGACACATCTCACAACAGCATCAGGACGGCTAACCCACACAAACTGCAACCCTACAGGTAAGAAAAACACCCTCTCTAAGGTATGCCTGGCAGCCACAGGTCCTCATGTTTTTACAAGTCCTTTCTATTTAATTTTGAGTCAGCTCCATCACTTCACCTTTTAAATGGTCTGGGAATATTTACTAAACTTTCAGTATCTTTATTTGGGAAACACTACACTGGTCACAGGGAAAAAGAAACTACTCCACATCCTATAGCTTTCATCACTGCATCCACTCTTCACTGGCAAGCCAGTTGAAAGGTGTTTTCAACTATACTTACCTACACATGTACACACAATAGAAGGATATTTAAATTCTACACTGCTGTGCCATGAAGTTTCAGGAAGCCAGACCACCCTCACTGCACCAAGAGGACTGACATAAACACACACAATAGTGGCCCTCAAGAACCCGACTTTATGAAATATAAATATCTCTAAACCAAATATTGCCATTATATTACTCAGTACAGCCAGGCTCTCCCCTGAAGGGATAAGCAAAAGTCACCCAAAAATCATGACAGACATGATACCCGAATTATTCTGAACAAGTGAAAACAGTCAAACAAACAGACACAGGCCAAGCCAGCACCCAGGATTCAGCTTTAATCAGCACCACGAGTTTCAGTGAAAACTGTTTCAGCACTTGTGTGGAATATTCGGTAAACACATGAACAGCACTGACTGTCAAGTCTGCCTGTAAAACTAAAGTAACTTGGGAACTTCAAACACTTTTACTCGCAGTAATTTGTTTTGCACAGCCATGCAGTTAGATGCAGCTCCATTGTAGTTGTAGACAGTAAGAAAGCCCTCTGCAACTCAAAACATAGGGAACGCTGTTATTCCAGGTACTTAACGGGCTTTCGAGTGAAATGATGCAAAGTAAACACATGTAAAATACTTTTTTCAAGTTCAGGAGAGTGGAATCTATTTGCTGACATCAGAACAAGGGAAAGCTCAGCTGAGAGCAGGAGGAGACTTTGCAAACCAGGAACCAACAGTGCAGGTTAACCCCCAAAAGGAGAAAGTCACAGGAATTATGGATGCTTCTCAAACTAAACTTGTCCCAAACCCCAAAACAAGAATTCAGGTTGTGCTACATGCTGAACTTTTCTCTTGTTGGTAACCTAGTGTATCCTGTTTATCTTTCATTACAACTGGTTTTGTATTTTCAGCTTACAAAGATGACAAGATCCACACAGTTTATGCCTAAAAGAAGTGCTCACAAACTTCCCTGGAAAACAACCATCCATGAATATAAATACATGCTGAAATACAGCAATGGAAACTGGAAGTTGCAAGTGTAAAGCAGAAAGAATACAAGCAATAACATTCCAAAAATAAAGCAAAAATACACCATCCCATCTGCAATCTCCCCTTCTTGTAGCAGCACAAGTGCAATGAAATACACATGTCACAAACTGGTACCAAAGAAAAAAGTAGATTTTATTCTTAGTGCTTACACTCAGGTTTTAAAAGCCTGTTTAGCAATGGCACTTTGTATCCATTTCCTAAGATGCATGAGTGACTCCAGTGAAGCCAGCGTGGGCTCAGTGACCAGCCTGACATGCGCCATTGGGAGCTCTCTTCCCAGAGCACACAGCTCCAGACACAGCAGCTCCTGCCCCTGAATCTCGGCTGCCCAAAGACACGGAGCTCCAGCAGCCCTCGTTACTCACCAGGGACAGCCTGTCCCAGGGAGGAATGGGTTGGAAAACCCTGTATGAAATAGCTTAAGGGGCTATTTCTGCAGCAGTTTCCCTGATTTTCCCTTATTTTAAGAGGTGCTTCCAAGGGAACCAACTGAATCACTTCCCACAGGGACAGCGTGGGGGTTATTTTGGACAGGGGTGAGCAAAGCCAGTGCTCACTGCCAGGGCCAGCAGAGCAAGGCTTTCCTGCATTCACAGCAGCATTTACAGACTCACCAAAGGGTAACACACAGCACTGATTCCACCTGGGTCAGTGCAGCTCCCATGGCTAACAATTCCAGTTCTTCCCTCTGGAAGTGGAGATTCCACATCACATCTGTGCACATTACATAGAGCACTGCACTAATTACTCAACCATATTCCAGCTATTATTGTTAGTATTTCATTAATTATGTGAATGTTTCCAAGTTCTAAAAGCTATCCCTGCCTCTCCGTACAGAACCTTGTTCAACAAAAAGCCAAGTACAGCAGAATATTGAAATTAGCTGTGAACTGTATAATCCCATTGTTCAATTTCATGGCATTTAAGACAGTACCTTCCCCTCCACACAAGTCTGGATGTTAATCCATGCTGGAACCTGATTTAATTTTCCAGATGACAGGATGGGAATATGCTACAATGGCATATTAGTGTAACTATGCTGCTCTTTTACTCACAACTTTTCTTACGTCATAAAGTGAGGAGTTTTGCTTTTAAAAGACACATGCTTATTACTTCTACAAATAGCACAGCTCAAACTGGTCTGTATTTGAATTGTATGGAAATTATATGACCAGGGAAGTTTTCAAACAATTACAGAAAGTGCTTCCCAGAGTAAACCATGCAAACCCAATAAAAACAAACTTGCTTCTTCTGGTAAAAGTCAGCCAATTTAATGCATACTGGTTACAAATAATTCATTTCAATCCCAAATTGAAAAATACAGTGAAAATTACTTCAATTTTTCTCC